TTCGATTGGTCTTAGCTTGGTGTTGAGAATGAAAAATCTCATTGATTATACAGACTACGATGTTGGCGAAACGACAGAGAATATACTAAGTCTAAGGTCTGACGCTTGGAATTATGATAACTAGCATGGCAGAGGACTTCGGGCAAGGTGCGTCCAATCAGGTCGCCCTGCAAAAAAGACTAATATGCGAAAATGAGTTCAACGCACATCGAAAGGAGACTACGACCACACCAATTTAGTCTTCATATCTGCGATTAAGGTTTCGCAATAACATATTCCAATGCTAAGGCTCCACCCACTCTCTGCATATATCTCTCATGGTAAGTTCAAATTTTAAATGTCCATTGAGTTTCAGAAATATGGGTCTATAGTTTGATACTATGCTGTGAAAACATCCACGCTTGCTATTTTTTTTCTATTAGTATGACCCTTGACATAAGTTGAGTTATAATAGCTATGTCGATTGACTGATCCTAAAGCATAAGGCTATATCTGCATTTCAACGATATAAAAACTAATATTAGCCTCTATAGGTTCAATTGGAAAGTCACACGAACAACGTCTTAAATAGTCCAATATTGTAATTATTAATTTCAATCAAAACTGTGATAAATAAAAATTAGTGAGAAAAAGAAGGAATGAGGTTAGAAATAATATCGTGGGCTAGATTAATATTTAATGTTAATAATACTAGAAGCGCTTTGGCACAAGAGGCTTGTAATTATTACCTGAGTCAGAAATCAGTCGGCAGGGCTGTGTTAAGAGAAAAAGGACAGATTCCATTTATTTATAAAGACAAGTCGATGCAGTGAAAGCCGCACATGAATAGTAGCAAATAGACTTAATTTTTTTAGAGCATATTCCAAAACTACATTTCATAACATCAATATTCATCTGTAACTCTTATTTAAGACTCTATAGCCAGCATAAAATTAATGTAAAAGTCATGAGGAAAAAAAACACGTGAGCATTATTAATGAATTTTAAGAGCTAATATCCCCACGCTAGTATATATTATTATTATTATTATGTAAGTAGTTTTCGAGATTATCAATTATTCTTGAAAAAGAACTTAGTCACCCTAGCTCACTCAAGGTAATCTTGACATAGAAAGTTGAGTTTATCCACAATGAGATGAGTAGTCTCCAGATGAAATTGAAATTCCCTTAGCCTTGCCGCCTAAAAGAGTATTTTATCCAGAGTGGACTGCATTTCCGACCTCGCCTACATCTAATCAGCAGCGCCACCGGGATCCGTGAGTACTGTTGACATGCTATCCCCTCAATAAATGGCCACGCGTGTCGATGGGCCATAGGGCAGATTTAACATTTGAGGAAAACAAAGACTATATTAAAGGTTATTTGACCTTGTTTTCGCTACTTCGTCATATTGGTAGGAACACTTAGAGGAACGCACCTAGTCTGGAGTCCATTGTATGCATGATCACTTCCAAAGTCAGAACATGGATGTGGTACATTCCCAGACGTTTAACCGGCATCGTAGTCGTCATCGTCAATAAGTCTCACTAATTTTAGTCCCACACAACTCGTCAAAGAGACAGGTGAAACCGATCCTTTGACCAAATGTCTGCTAAACTGTTGTGATATCTCCAATTCTGCCATGGTCTATTCACATTTCCTATATCCTCCTATCACGACTTCATTGTTATAATTTTTACAGTGCTTATTTCAATGTAGTGTCGTGTGCTCCTTAAGCAGCATTCATGAAAACACTTCACACTCCACGCTGTCGTTCTCACCACCTTCACCCTTGTTTTGGGAATATTAATCAGTCTGCCATATTGTTACGTAGTCCTTCTTCCCTAGGTCTTATTACAGTCTCTCTCTTGCCCCGTAAGATCCGTCTGCTCTCTTGTTCACGAATTTCACTGGATCCCTGCCACCCCATCTGTGCTACTCGAGGCGTTATTCGCCCTCCCCTGCGTCTGGGTGATTAATTCGAGG